ACACCAGGTGCTCCGTCCTGATGTAGAAATATTTACGCCAAAAGCGGCGGTTGGGCTTATCATCGGCTTTAACGACCAAGCCCTTTGCGCCACGACCTTTCAACTGCAGCATGGTACCCCTCAGGTAACCAGCGCTGAACAACTGTAAGAGGTGGTGGACCGAGACGCTGTACCCAGCCCTGGCCGCATAAGTGGTCATGATACGGCACACCTTCAAAGTATAATGAGTGAGCTGGGCCGGACACACATTGTAAAAACGGCAAAGCTCCTCCACCAGAGGGTAGACTGGAAGGTCGTAACCGATCAAGAAAGGGTACTCATAGAAGGTGCAATATCCAGGCCGGTGCACATTGGCATAATCCGTCCCGGCCGGAACCATTTCCACGTGGTCCGGAATATGGTGCGTCTCTCACAGATCATCTAAATGGGATTGTAGTAAAACGCTGTGCTCCCAGGGAAGATCAGGGCTTTTAGTTGGAAAATCCCTGCGAACGTGCGTCTCATTCGGAAGGACATTGTCTACGCTGAGAGGAACAAGGGCCTTCTTCGCCTTTTCCCCTTCACCACCGGAAGATGGCGGAACCCTAGACGGGGCATTATCTTTGGCCTTTTTATTATTCTGTCCGCGTTTTGTCATTATTATACTACTTGAGAAACGAAGCACTGACGATAGGAAGTGTGGTTTCAACAAAAGTGGGAGAGTCCCTCACGAAATAACGGTTACAGGAAAGAAAGGCAAAGGAGTGTATCAGAAAATACTTTCAGAGGCTTGAAAGTGGAATCAGATCATACCTCTCTCATACTTATAAGGATAAGCTGCACAGGAATCGAAGAGTCATGATTCAAAACGTGCGCCGGAAACCAAAACGTCACTTCATCCTCTGAACCGCCTCGGGGGCAAATATAATGATGATGCATACAGGCGATGACATCATTCCAAAAAGGAAGCCACGCGTCAGTGGCTCAACAACGTCATATATTTCACTTCATTCATATTGCCGCCCCTGGTCGAGGTCAAATTCTCCTAAGCCGAGGTTCGTATTTCCGCCCGTCGAAGACGCCCACCGAACGCGTCTCCAACGAGCGGAGGGACTAACTGTATAGGGTCAAATTTGACCCTCAGTATCTCTACGCCAGTGGGTACGCCCAATGATTGTACGCCGACCAACGTAGCGGGTACGACTCGACCGTGAGGACAAAAGCGACATCGTTTAGAACTCAGTGTCTACACTAGGGAGACGTTACCTATCTTTGTAACTTTTTGATTCTTTCGAGGAAGGTCTCCTATTATATAAAGGAGACCTCCACATTGTAAAAGGGGGATCGGATCTAATACAACTCTCTCATTTTTTCTGGCTTTCTCTCTCTATATCTCCACTTCTAACGAAAATATCTTATTGGTAAACATTGTCACTTTGCAATATTAGATCTACAACAATATTATCATCTTTGCATCTCTAGGCTTATTATATTTGATTACGATTTACCCCTTTTCTATTTTTGATTGTTTTATCGCTTACAAAGTATATCGTTAACTTTTGAGCCAAACAGACATCCTCTAAATTATCTTGATTTTGTTATTTTTGTTCCCCTAAGCGTTTACTATTGACCAATTCCAAGTATATATATATCATGACAAGTATAGTGGGTCGTCGTCTAATGTGTCATTAGCGGAATCAAACGGTTTTTTTCAAATATATTTTAAACATCGAATTATCATAAAAAAAAGCATAGCAACCTCCCAAATTGAGAAAAAGGTGAAATCATATTTAATTCTTAATTGCTTAAGTAAGAGATTTTAAAATATATAGGTCGCGTGCGAATCAAAATAAAGTATACAATTTCTAATCCTTATGTAACACTTGTATGGGTCCGAATTTGACCGACCACGGCTTGTAGCGAATACGACCAGCAACCCAAAACCTACGAGTCGGCATAGGGGTACGACTAAGAGGTGGAAAGAGTGACGCCATCATAGTAGCGTCGGATTTGGCGCAGTAGGTAGTCCCTAATTCGTCATTTCCACGACTAAGGAAAATCTCTCTCTATATAAGATAGGTTCGAGTCTTGTAAAGGGCAGACAGTTTTTTGTGGAATATACAGTTTTATTACCTTACCTTTCTTGTTATCTCTCTCACTCTCTCTCTTTACCATTAACATCCTAGATCTTCGGCTAAGATTTACCCCTTCATCCGTGATTGATTTGCTTAAAAGAAGAATCAAATTTTTTTTGAGTCAAACAATTTGGCGCTGTCTGTGGGGATTTCCATAGCCGAAATCATAGTTGTCATCTAGGATCTCAAAAGTAACGACTACTGTTCTTCAAATCCTGTAAAAACTAACAATGGCGGAGAAAGAAGCAAGACTAAAGAGGATAGCAGATGTCTCAAACAACCTCTTAAACTCCCTCAACGAAGCTGGTAGAGAAGACACCGAGAACACAACACCAGGAGATACACCGGAGGAGGAAATCTCGCCCTCTCCACACGAGGACCTAACGGTCTTGCGCGAAAGAGAAGCTTCCATGTCTACAGTGAAAGAAACACCACCAGCGGTCAAAAAGTTACTAGAAGAATGGTTAACAAGCGCTCTGAACAACATGCTCAAAAAATCCCCTCAAGGAAACGTCGGAGAATTACCAGCTGCAAAACCCGCAGTTAACACCAAAGAGCCATGTATCGCACAAACGGGCAACGCTCACCCCCCCTCCCCCCATTGCAGGCGACGGTGCACTCATGGCCATCTTAAAGAAAATGGAAGAAATGGAAAACGAAAATAAATCACTCCGCGACCAAATGAAGGAGCACCAGGAAAGAGTGGACAAAATACCTGGTGCCCCCAAACTGCTGCCAAAACGCGATGTGGGCCGATTCGTTGAACAACCATATAGCGATGGAGCCGCTCCTCACCCCATTTCAAAAACCTTCAAGATGCCACCATACTTGAAAATTTACGACGGAACTACGGACCCCGAGGATCATCTGATCCATTATGTTACTGCGGTAAAAGGCAACGATTTGTCAAAGGAACAAGTACCATCTATACTGCTGAAAAAGTTTGGCGAAACCCTGACAGGAGGGGCCTTGACATGGTATTCATAGCTACCGGCATGATCTATATCAACGTTCGAGGAAATGGCGGATAAATTCGCTACTGCTCATGCAGGAGCAAAGAAAGCTGACGCCAGGGTCAACGATATTTTCGCAATCAGGCAAACGGCAGGTGAGGGACTTCGGGACTTCCTCGCCCGATTTAACAGGGTAAGAATGAGCCTACCGAACGTATCCGAAGGAATGGCGGTAGCAGCCTTTCAGAACGGATTAAACAGGAACGGATCCAAAGCGACCAAGAAGTTGCTCAGCAGGCTCATGAAATATCCCCCCACCACATGGGAAGAAATCCACAATGCCTATTGTGCCGAGGTGAGGCCAAACGAAGATGATCTGAATGGCCCGATTCAGCGACTAATGTCAGTACAAACCGAGGCGAGGAAAGATCGACGTAACGAGGGGCGAAGGGATCAACCCCCGCATTTCAATCGAGAAAGGCATCACCCTTATGTCAGAACATCTAACCCGCCTCCTCCAAGGCATACAGATGTCGTGCTACGACACACCGCTCCCCTTCGAAACGAAAGAGGTATGCCTCCACTATTATCTGCTCATAACTTTTGTGTTTCCCCTTCAGAGATAGTGTACGCACTAGAGAAGTTGGGTTGGGCACGAAGGTGCAATGGCCACAAAAAATGAAATCGGACCCAAGCGCGAGAAGGTCAAACGTCCTCTGCGAATTCCATCAGGAAAGAGGACACAAGACCGAAGATTGCATAGGCCTATGGCAGGAAGTGGTCAGGATGCTAAACCAGGGGTATCTGAAAGAACTGCTCAGCGATAAAGGAAGGGCCAACTTCTCCAGAGGACGCGAACCATCTCAAGGACCCCCAAAACCACCATCATCGGCACGTACTATACAGATGATCATCGGTGGTGGCGACGACTCGGTAATCAACCATGTGAAGTTCACCACCACGCACAAACTCAACGGTCAGTTGCCCACGAACGGTATAATAACTTCGAAGACAGTATCATCTTCGAAAAGTCAGATGCCGATGGTTTGTCTTTCCCTCATTATGATGCTTTGGTTATAACATTACACATCGCTGATACAGATGTAAAGAGGATCATGATAGATGACGGAAGCGGCGCGTGTATTATTCATCCGAGAGTTCTCACGCAAATAAGGCTCGCGGATAAAATAATACCGCATTGCATAACACTAACGGGTTTTAGCAATGCAGTAGAGCGGACATCCGGGAAATAGCGCTGCCAGTCTTAGCCGGGGGAGTCACACTGGAAACCACATTCCATGTCATGAACCAGGAAACAGCTTACAACGCCATCATAGGACGCCCATGGATATATGCCATGCGAGCCGTCCCCTCAAGTTTCTATCAAGTAATCAAATTTCCCACCCTATGGGGAATATTTAGCATCCGAGGCGAGCCGCGTACCGCCCAAGAATGATATCGTATCGCCCAAGATTGCACACACACCAAACAACTAAAAGGTGCAAGTGTGGAGGCATAGCAATCAGCCATGTCGGGAAATAAACCCGACCCGCCAATTTAGGCCATCAGAGACCCAAAAATTGTAGAGGCCTGTAAGGCGACCATAGAAGACCTCGACCCAGTCCAGTTGGACGATGCCGACAACACAAAGAAGGCTTACATCGGGGACAACCTCTCGGAGCCAGGTAAGTATCGTAAATTTTTAACTGACAAAGCCGATTTGTTTGCCTTTTCCCACTCAGATATGCTAGGAATCCCGAAGGACATCGCCACTCATAGGATGAATGTCGACCCACTCTACCTGCCGGTACGACGGATAAGGAGAAAATTCAATGTCGCAATCAATGAAGCGATCAGCGAAGAGGTAGATAAATTACTCACCAACAGTTCCATCAGAGAATCAAAGTATCCCCAATGGGTCGCCAATGTGGTCATGGTCAAAAAGAAGAACAGGAAATGGCGAATGTGTGTAGACTTCACCGATCTGAACAAAGCATGCCCGAAAGATTCCTTCCCGCTACCATATATCGACCAACTGATTGACGCGACAGCAGGGCACGAACTGCTGAGTTTTTTAGATGCCTACTCCGGTTACAACCAAATTCTATTGGCCGAAGAAGATCAGGAAAAAACGACTTTCATCACTCGCCAAGGAATTTACTGCTATAAAGTGATGTCGTTCGGACTCAAGAATGCGGGGGCCACTTACCAGAGGTTAGTCACCAAAATGTTCAAAGAACAGCTCGAAAAAATAATGGAGGTCTATATCGATGATATGCTGGTAAAGTCGGCAAAGAAGGAGGACCACATTAGCCATCTGAAAGAAGCCTTCGAGATATTGAGGCGGTACGGGATGAAGTTAAACCCGGAAAAGTGCGCCTTCGGCGTGGCCTCAGGGAGATTCTTAGGCTTTCTCGTGTCGCAACGGGGAATCGATGTCAACCCAGATCAAATCAAAGCCATCGACACAATACCTAAGGTGCTGACCAGCAAAAAATAGGTACAGAAGCTAACAGGGCGAATTGCCGCCCTGTCGAGATTCATTTCACGATCCTCGGACAGATGTCACAAATTCTTCAACGTATTAAGAAAAGACCACGGGCTGCAATGGAACGAGGAATGCATCGACGCCTTGAGGAAGCTAAAAGTGTACCTGTCCTCACCACTACTCGTCAAAGCAGACCCAGGTGAGTGCCTACTCGTATATTTGGCAGTATCCGAAGTCGCTATCAGTGCAGTCTTGGTCCGCGAAAACAAAGGTACGCAATCCCCTATTTACTATATCAGCAAAACCTTAATAGATGCCGAGACAAGGTACCCTCACCTTGAAAAATTAGCTCTGGCACTAGTCGTAGCTTCACGAAAGCTTAGACCATATTTTCAATGTCACCCCGTAAAGGTAATAACAACCTTCCCCTTGAGAAGTATCCTGCATAAACCCAAACTCTCAGGTAGACTCGCCAAATGGGCAATAGAACTAAGCGAGCACGATATAACTTACCACCCGCGGACTGCCATTAAGTTGTAGGTGCTCGCCGATTTCGTCGCCGACTTTAGCGCAGAAATATTGCCCGCGGCGGAACAGGAAGCGCTTCGCGCTTCCGCATGTACCGACCTTTGGACCCTCTATACCAATGGCGCTTCGAACGCCTCGGGATCGGGACCTGGACTCATCCTCGAAGTCCCCACGGGCGAGGTAATTCGCCAGTCCATACGATGCCCAGAGATGACTAACAACGAGGTCGAGTACGAGGCTGTGATTGCAGGTCTAAAGTTAGCCCTCAAGTATGGCGTGCGACGACTCATCCTCCATTGCGACTCCCAACTCGTTGTAAATCAACTCACCGGGACTTACCAAATCAAAGGGAAGAGACTACAGAGGTATCAGTCAGAAATCCGTAAACTACTACCAGAGTTTGACGAATGCCGCCTCGACCAGATCCCCAGGGCACAAAACATGGAAGCAGATGGCCTCGCCAAATTAGCTGCTGCCACCAAAAATATTAACAAGGAAAGCGTGATCACCCTCCTTCACTCAGCCATAGACCACATCGAGGTACTTTCTCTGAACCTAACTTGGGACTGGCAAAACCGCCTTGTGTACTATTTACAGGATGGAATACTCCCGCAAGACAAGAAAGAGGCCAAGAAACTCCGGGTGCAGGCAGCTCGATACAGCCTGGTAAATCATGACCTCTACAAAAGAACATTTGGCGGCCCCCTAGCCAAATGTCATGGACCGCACCTAACTAGGCAAGTACTGGAGGAAGTACATGAGGGTCACTGCGGCGCCCATACAGGGAATCGCACCCTCGTTCGATGTCTTATTCGCGCCGGCTATTACTGGCCCACTATGAAAAAAGAAGCCGCGGACTACATCCGGAGATGCGTGCAATGCCAAAAGTATGCCCCTATGATACATCAAGCAGGGGAACTCCTCCATTCGGTCACCTCGCCATGGCCTTTCATAAAGTGGGGAATGGACATAGTCGGCCCTCTGCCAGCAGGACAAGGAAAGGTACGTTTTCTTTTGATTTTAACTGACTATTTCTCTAAATGGGTGGAAGCAGGTTCGTATGCTCAGATACGTGAATAGGAGGTCATCGCCTTCATATGGAAAAATATTATATGCCATTTCGGTATCCCCAAAGAAATCAGTTATGACAACGGACCCCAGTTCATCGGAAAGAGAACAACTGAATTCTTCGAAAAATGGCACATCAAGCGGATACTTTCCACGCCATATCATCCCGCTGCCAACGGCCAAGCAATCCTCCAACAAAGTGATACTGAACATACTGAAAAAAAAGCTCGAGGAAGCTAAAGGGCTAAGGCCCGAACTACTGCCTGAAGTATTGTGGGCACACCGAACTACGCCAAAATCCAGCACGGAAGAAATGCCCTACTCACTTGTCTATGGGACCAACGCAGTCATACCTGTCGAGGTCGGAGAACCCAGCCTGAGATCCTCGCATATAAGCGGTGCGGATAACGACGAAAGTAGGTTACAAGACCTAGATGAAATTGAAAAACGGAGAGACATGGCCCATGTGAGAATGATTGCCCAGAAGCAGCAAATGGAGAGATACTACAACAAAAAGGCCAAAGTAAGATCACCCAAAGTTGGCGACTACGTACTCAAAGCCAAAACACTAGCATCAAAGGATCCAAATGAGGGGAAGTTAGGAAGAAACTGGGGCGGGCCGTACAAAATCGTAGTAACAGCGAATAAAGGAGCATTCCAACTAGAGACAATGGAGGGAAAACCTCTGCAAAACAACTGGAACGTCGCCCATCTCAAGTACTTCCACTTCTGAAAGGTGTCACCTAAGTCGTACTCTTTTTCCCTCACCCGAGTTTTGTCTCAATCGGGTTTTCTCGGGGAGGTTTATAACGAGGCGGCGAAGGGGATACCCTGTGGATCGGAACATTATTCATCACTTCGGCCCGTCGATACACTCTCCGGTTCAAAGTAATGAAGGGACTACGGAATTCAATCTCCATAGTATGAACGGAATTCATTCTCCATTGTACGTACGAAATACATTCTCCATTATATGAACAGAATTCACTCTCCATTGTACGTACGAAATACAAACATCCCAATGGCCAAGGCCATCGACATTAGTTCGAACCACGACGGGATATTACTTCGACGACAGTCAAAGCTACATCCCAATGGCCAAGGCAATCGACATTCAGTTCGACCTCGTTCGAGCTACAATGGGATACTACTTCGACAACAGCCAAAGCTACATCCCAATGGCCAAGGCCATCGACATTAGTACGACCTTGTTCGAGCCACGACGGGATACTACTTCGACGACAGCTGAAGCAACATCCCAATGGCCAAGGCCATCGACATTAGTTCGACCTCGTTCGAGCCACGACGGGATACTACTTCGACGACAGCCGAAGCAACATCCCAATGGCCAAGGCCATCGACATTAGTTCGACCTCGTTCGAACCACGACGAGACGCCATGACGGGATACTACTTTGACGACAGCCGAAGCAACATCCCAATGGCCAAGGCCATCGACATTAGTTCGACCTCGTTTGAACCACAACGAGATGCCACGACGGGATACTACGACAACAGCTGTCACACCTCCTTTTTTACGCACCACCCCGAAGGATAGTGTAAAAGAGAGTTTTTCCACTTTAAGTGACAATATTTAAAATGGGATTATTTATTTATCAGAGTTGCCACTTGGGATAATTTATTTGGTGTCCCAAGTCACCGGTTTATTTCGAATCCCAAATCGAGGAAATTTTCGACTTTCCAAGTGAAGTCTGCGAACCAAAAATTCTTGAGTAAGGAATTCTGTTAACCCGGGGGAAGGTGTTAGGCACCCCCGGATTCCGTGGTTCTAGCACGGTCGCTTAAACTATCATAATTGGCCTATTACCTGATTTTAACACATGTTTCAACCTATAGTGCAATTTTAAATTATTTATCGCTTTTATTTAATTTTAAGGAGAATTGCAACGTTATTAAAACACGTCTCGACCACGTCACATAAATGCACCCGTGGTTTTTGACATATTTTAACACCGTTGGGATTTAGATTTGGGTCACATAAATGTGCACCCGATTTTAGGAAAGTAGATTATTAAAATACGCGCCTAAAGCAACTAACGGGTTGATAACTTTGCGGGAGGCCATGAAAATTCACTAAATGGCGCGTCCCGATTTCTAAGTATTTTAATGGAAGTAATTAAAGAGGGCCACGCAATTTGTGATTTCGTTTGGCGCGGCGCACCTCAATTTCATTTTTAAAGGATACTAGACTAAGGTTGAAGGGTCATGAACTTTTATGTTATTTAACTAATTGGCTAAGGTTATAAGGATTAGATATGGGCTATGAATTTAAAATCTAGTAACTAAATACAAAGACTAAGGTGACACAACTGGACCTGAAAGAGAGGCCCAATATTTAATGTTTGAATCTCTGAAGCTGCCTGCGTACAAAACGCCTCAGCTGTAAAGCTGATTAATGTTTTGGGCCTCTGAACAGGGCTATTTCAATCACCCGAGCAGCCTATTTTAATTAACAGGTATAAAAATCAACTAAATTTGTTTATTCTCTTTCAATTTATAGCCCAGAAGCCAGGTGAGTTAAGAACCAAGTTGGGCCATGCATAAATAAAATCAGGGCCCAAATTTTATTCAAATAAAAGGCTGTCATGTTTTGGCTCATAAATGAGCCCAAATCAGGCACTGAATTTAAATTGGATTGCAGAAACACTGAATTTGAAACATAATGAAACCTAATAATTTTGCGGAATGCATGAACAATTCAACTCCGTTCACATGCTGATTTTAAGTCTAATTTCATGCTCATATTCAAATTGTATGTATCCTGATGAACCACACACACTCTTTCTAAAGTTTTTACTTCCAGAACAACATTTAAACATATACAGCACATTTGCAGAACCTAAAACATTTATGGAACTGAAAATAGACATAATTCCAATTTTAACATCCAAGTCCGTTTAACTAGGCATTTGCAGGTAACACTTTGCTTATATAACACACTAGATTCCAATTTTATCATCCAAGCTAACATGATAGCAGGTTTAAAAATGAAATTAAACTGTACTAAAGCTAATACTACTAAATGAGTCCAACATTCCAAATATTACATTCATTAGAGGGTCCGGATCAAGTAATTCCTAGATTCTAATGAAAGCTAAATGTAACACTTGAGTTAACATGCTATGAGTGAATTACAGATAACATAAACGTGCTAGGCCACCTAAATCAAAGCAAAACAGTAGGAAAAACATATAACATTTCATCATTATCCTCAAATTCGATCACACATTTGATTCAACCATCACATGTCAGTTGAGGCCAAAGGAGTACCTGGAAATTAGACCAAAAATAAGAGGAATTGGAGGTCAGATACACAGCAGCAGAGTAACAGATGCAATCTCAGCAAAGTCTCAGCAAATCCAATATAAAAACCCAGGAGTTGGATGTGGCGAACCCCAGAAATCAGGTTCAATCAAGCAAAGGACCCAGCTGAACTTAAAACCAGACTTTGATGGTTGAAATTGACCCTTAACAAGTGAATTCCACCTAGTTTTAGCACTTGGAAGTGGATTTGAACTGCTGAAACTTGATGAAACAGTAGATCTGGTGGATTTCTAGGCTATTTTTGTTGATTTTTTCAGGATTTTTGTTTTGAATTCTAAGATCTAAACTCTATATACTTAAACTCTCAAATTCTGCAGAAAACTTTTGTTGATTTTCAGTATTCCCTCTCAAACTTTCAATTTTTTTTTCAAATTTTCTGATTTTTAGACTTGGATTTCAAATTTTCAGATTTCTAGCCCCTAAAACCTGACTTGCAAGGCAGGGTATACTGCCTTTTATAGGCAAGTATTAGGGCACCTTTCAGATTTTTACTTTACACCTTAGCCCCCTCTTAATTTCCAGTTTTTAGCTTAAAAGCCCTTAGGGTACTAACTTGTTACCCAAGTTATACTACTCAATTTCAGAATTTCAAATTAGAACCCAATCTAGAAGCTTCTAGGGGCTTCTATTTTCAATTACTGCAAGATTCTTTAATTGAATTACCTATATTACCCCTGAAACTACTAACCTAGGTTAAACTAACTCCAGCCCCCTTAACTTGGTCAAAGATGACCATGGTTAATTACCAAGGCTTAGAATTACTCAGCAGTCACCAAATGACATTCAATTATAACAAAACCCCAAAATTTGAATACAAATCCAAATAACCCTAACTTAAGCTTGAATTAACTACTGAACTCAGGATTGAAAAACTACTACTATCTATTATTAGTCAAACCAAAAACTAAGAAACAAACAAAATTAACAGAGAATCAGTATGAACAGAGAAGAAAAGGAAATCAAAAACTTAAAAAAAAACTAAGAACACTGATCAATGCACAAATTAAAATTCACGTACAAGGTGAAATAAACGAAGAGTAAAACTAAGAAAACATACCCATTAAACTTGAACACGACTGCCTTCCAATTTCAATCGCAAGATAATGTCAATCAACTGTTCTTTGTCAAGAACAGTCAAGTAACATTATCCCATGGTGAAATTGAACCTAAAACTTACGAAGACTGGAGGAGAAGCCTTGCTAAACCAAGTTCTAGGGTTCTGCTTCTTTTGATTTGAAATTCGAGAATTTTAGGGAATATTTGAAGGGAAAGGAGTGTGGATTTGTAATGAGGGGAGGATGGGGGTTCAAGGGTGTTATTTTGGGGGTGTTTGGAGTGGTGGCGCCGCCGGACACGGCGGAGGAGTCCATGGCGGCGCTAGGGTTTGGGATGTTTGGGGAACTATAGTGAGATTTGAAGGAGATTAACAGTGTCATGGGTATGAGGAGGATGAGAGGAGTCTTTTGTGTAAATTTGGGAGTGATTCACCAATCGCCGCCGGCGGAGGCGATTTCCGGTCGGCGGTTTGCGGTGGTAGGCGGCGGAATTAGGGTTTGGGTGTTTGGGGTCTGAGAGACTGTGAGAAGGGGGAAGGGGCGTCTTTGGACATATATATATTAAAATGTTCCCACTTCTCGTCCATTGGATCAAAATACCTAGACGGCTAGGATTGCACATAAACTAAACGACGTCGTTTTGGGGGGAACTGGGGTGTTGGACCGGATCTGGGCCGGGTTTGGGGCGATTTGGACGGGTTTCAGGGGTTTAAATTATTGGGTCAATGAATTGCATTTAAAATTGGCCCGACAAATGCATACCCAACAAGCCAAATTTCTTTTCCTTCAATTCCTTTTCTTTTAATCCTTTTTCCTTTATTTCTTAACCTGTCTAATTAAGCTATAATTAAAACTAATACCAATTTAAAGGAAACTAATAAACCTCAAAACTAGAATTTAAACCAAAAAACAAATCAAATTTTTGTGATTTTAGTATTTTTTGTAAAAAACCCAATTACTAATTAATCTAAAAATATAAAATTAATCCTAAATGCAAACGCAATATTTTTTTTTGTATTTTTACGAATTATCTAAAACTAAACATGCACACACAAATGAGAATACACACGAAAATTACGCAATTAAATCCTAAAAATCAAATAATAAAAGAAAAATCCTAATTTTAGGGATTCTGTAGGAATAATTCAAGCGAGGAAAAAATCACGTGCTCACAGCTTCCCCTCTTTGCTCGGAGACATGAAGGGTTTTCGGGCAAACATAAATGAGCAATTATGAGGGATTTTTTCCTGCTTGGCACTCCATGAGAAGCATTTCTGAAAAACGTCTGACCGAACCTTGCTTCAGAGGTTGCCTACATATCCTTGGCTATAAAGGAATCAGGTTAGTATAGTTCTGGAAGTATTGGTAGCTGGGACTACCAGGAGCTGTGATTTCACTGCCGTTGCTGCTGCTACTGCTTGCTAACTTCCTTATTACACCAAAAGGAAAATCAAAGCTAAGATAACTATGCCTATCAACTATGAGTTACAAGATTCCCATCTATAAATCTCTTGAAGCTTGATCTTGAGTCTTAGCTGATTTTGTTGTGGACTCCGATCTGAATCTTGATGCTCGTCAGCTGCAAGCGCCGTTTCTTTCTTCAGCATTTGGACCAAAGCGGGACAGGCGGAGCTTGTGACTTCAGTCAGGTTTTGAGCAGTCCGCATCTTTGTCCGCTTCAGCATTTTGAATTCACTTCTTTTTTGTTCTTTTCTTCTTTTCTTTATTCTGGGTGGAGACTTATTCTTTCAGCTACCTCGGATCCTATGCTTCGAGGTCAAACCTGCTCAGACACCAAAACAAACAAATGAACGAAATTTTTCTACCCCAATTTTCACTAGGAAAATTTCATGAGTTATTTGTGACACATATCTAAGCAAATAAAATCAGGATTGTGTATCCTTGGGAATGAAACCTTAAATTAGGGGGGTTACCAGGTTATGCTGGAAAATGATCGGGTTATGCCGGAAAAGGAAAAGGTCCTCGGGTTATGCCGGGGAGGTCCACGGGTTATGCCGTGATAAAAGAAAAAGGCTCCTTGGGTTATGCCAGGGAGGCCCGCGGGTTATGTCGGGATAAAAGAGGTCCTTGGGTTATGCCAAGGAGATCCGCGGGTTATGCCGGGATTAAAATGGAAAAGGCTCCTTGGGTTATGCCAGGGAGGTCCGCGGGTTATGCCGGGATAAAAGAGGTCTTTGGGTTATGCCAGGGAGATCCGCGGGTTACGCCGGGACAAAAGAAAAAAGGTCCTTGGGTTATGCCAGGGAGGTCCACGGGTTATGCCGGGATAAAAGAAAAAGGTCCTTGGGTTATGCTAGGGAGAACCACGGGTTATGCCGGGATTAAAAGAAAAAAGGCTCATTGGGTTATGCCAGGGAGGTCCGCGGGTTATGCCGGGATAAAAGAGGTCCTTGGGTTATTCCAGGGAGATCCACGGGTTTTGCCGGGATAAAAGAAAACGGTCCTTGGGTTATGCCAGGGAGGTCCACGGGTTATGCCGGGATAAAAGAAAAAGGTCCTTGGGTTATGCCAGGGAGGTCCACGGGTTATGCCGGGATAAAAGAAAAAGGTCCTTGGGTTATGCCAGGGAGGTCCACCGGTTATGCCGGGAGAGAAGAAAAAGTTCCTTGGGTTATGCCAGGGAGGCCCACGGGTTATGCCGGGATAAAAGAAAAAGGTCCTTGGGTTATGCCAGGGAGGTCCACGGGTTATGCCGGGATAAAAGAAAAGGGTCCTTGGGTTATGCCAGGGAGGTCCACGGTTATGCCAGGATACTTAGGGAATGGGGCTCTATGCTACCATGATTTTTTCTTTTTTTTATATTTTTTTTATCTTCATTCTTCATTTCATTTTAGTAGAAAATGCAAGAAAGAGGGTTGGGGG